ATGAAAAATATTATTTTTTAATTTTTAAACTGAGTAAATGTAAAAGTATATATATTAAACTAGATAATTTATCAATCAATTTTTCGAGATGTGATCTTTTAACAATTCCTACACGGATGACTCGGCTTTTACGAACTGTCACCATTTACGAAAGAGCAAGGTTTGATATTTTAAAAAGAAACCGACATCACAGCAGCACGTACTAATCATGCGTACCTGAGCTAATTGACAAACCATTCTGACGTAAAAGTCGAAAGTACAGAGCTACAGTGAAAAGATCATTGGGGACCATTGAAATAAGAAGGTTATTAAGAGCCTCTTTAATTTCTTCCTCAAAGTGGTTGGCGACTCCCAGCCGATGAATTGCATCAATCAGTGACAACAGGACGTGAGGGGTAGCGTCCTTGGTGGATTCCAGAAGGGTTTTAGTAGCTTTCTTGAGCTGCTCTAGCCGAGTGGTATGGCTCTCATACTGCAAGATTAGATACACAAATAATATATATATAGCTCGATCTCACATTGGAAGGATGATATATATATATATATATATATATATGTAGGGTGACGTAAAGAGAATTGATATGTGTAAAGGAAACTATCATGAATCTGATATTTAGTCTTCTGAGTTTAACGTAGTGTCTACCAAAGAAATGTTTTTGTTAATTAAGGAGACTTGCCTTGTAACCAGTGGAAGAAGAGATGATGAGGTCAGGGTCCCAAATGGTAGGAAGGAAACCTGCAGTTCGCCGTTCACTCATTTGCATAGCATTAGGCTCCATAAGTGGTTGAAAATCAGTATAATTGACCTTTTTCTGTGCGTGGACGGGCTTCTTTGATATATGTACTTTTCTGAAATGAGAGTAGTAGTAAGTCGTACTCTACTTTAAAAAAAAAAAAAGGCAAAATGAACTATATGCATCAAATGCACCGGAAACGTACCTAGCCGGCTGGGCATCTTCTGTGTTAATACCCATGGAAGAGCATGCGATGTTGCGTCTACCTACCCTTGCGGGAAGAATGAATGGGTAGGAAATGCCACTGAGGCCAACAGCTGCCA